CTGCTGCTGCTCCTCCTCCTCTTCCTCTTCCTCTTCCTCTTCCTCTTCCTCCTGCTGCTCCTCCTGCTCCTCTTGCTCCTCCTCCTCCTGCTCCTCTTCCTCCTCCTCCTGCTGCTCCTCCTCCTCCTCTTCCTCTTCTTCCTCTTCTTCCTCTTCTTCCTCTTCTTCCTCTTCTTCTTCCTCCTCTTCCTCTTCCTTAAATTACAGTTGAATAAGGGTGTAACTGCTTGGGATTTTTGAGGGATAAAATGTCTGAAAATGTATAGAATCCCTGCTATAAACTATACTGTATTATGATCAAATATATTTAACAATAATGCAGACACAATGCAATACAATTGCCAGTGTTGGCAAAGTGGTCAATTGCATCTGTGTCAAAATGTAGTCTTGAAGACCTTACTAGTTTAGTGTGTATTGTTCTCACATGGTGCATATTTCTAAATTAATTTGTGAGACTGCAGAAGTTTTGCTTTGAGACGCACAATCACGTTGTTTGGGATCTCCAAGTGCTGGGGGTTAACCAGGGTTAACACTTCTAAATCAACGAGAACCACCACAAGACACTTATGTTTATTTGTCTGTCTGTCTTTCTGCCAGGCTGTCTGTCTAACCTTCCACCAAATGCGAAGAAGATCTCCAACTCATACGAGGAGCGCCGTAAACAAGCCACCGCCATCGTGCTGTTGGGGGTCATCGGGGCTGAGTTTGGCGCTGAGATTGAACCTCCAAAGGGTGCAGCACGGGCTCGAACCGGCGGACAGGCGCCTGAGGGCTTCGGACTGACGAGCGGAGGGTCTTCCAACTACTCGCTGGCCAGGCACACATGTAAGTGCAGAGATAACCCACTCATTGCCATTTACTTGATATCAACAAATAATGTCATAATTCCAATGTGATCAGTAAGTCCAGATATCTGAGTTTACAGTCTGAGAAGTAAGAGTGATAATTCAAGAAGATCACAATGTACAATTTTGCGGTAGAGGGTAAATGTTGAAAACAGGGACTTTAAAAAGTTGACACTGTGCGTGGTGCTGCACTTAATTTTCTTTCTTTGTGATTCTTTATATTTCTATAATCTTGTTTCTGAATTGTATCCACAATAATGGAGATACAGAAAAAACCTTCTTGTCCAGCTTTTGGTTTCTAAACACTGACTCAAGCTCCCTTCGAGTGGGCTCCTCTCCCCAATCAGTAATGAGGGCCTGGACAGTTTGATTTGATTGATTCCTCAATGTTCTTTTTTAGCCACATTAGGAGTGTGGCTGTAGGGATGGTAGAGTCAGTTGGTGCATCACTTTGGTCCAGACTTTCCTCCAGCACCACCTTGAGGTTGAGTTTGGGTTTGTGTAAAATAGCTCAACCACTTTTGGATGAATTAAAAATGAATTTTGGTACAAATATTCAAGGTCCCCAGCTAATGAATCCAAATAACTTATGTGGTCCCCTGACCTCTTGACCAGTCTTTTGGTTTGTGACCAAATACCTGCAAAAAAATTACATTCATCATCAACTTCAGCTGCCAGCTAGTGTTTAGTGCTATTTAGTAAATGTAGCTAAACTAAGATCAGACGTTACGTTAAACGTTACTTTTCAATGTCAGCATTGCCATTGTGAGCATGTTAGCATTTAGTGCAAAGCACCGCTGTGCCTAAGTACAGTCTCACAGAACTGCTAACGTGGTTGTAGACTCTTAGTTTTGTTAGAATAATGTTTTTATGGCAGTTACTGTTGTTGTGTTTGTCGTAGTCTTACTTGTTGTGAAGTGATGTCTAATCTCCTGTACCAATCATTGACAACTCCTCATACCAAAATGTTTAGTGGTTCCTGTTTTGGTCCGGAATCATGGTCTTTCCAAACTCACAACTACACAACTGACAAAGTAGAAACTTCAGTGTCGGATTAGAGGTGAGGGGAGAGATGGGATTGATTTTCACCCACCAAGCTTGACACCTTAAGGAGCTTGGCACTGACTTTCACACACACTCACATACACACACACACATTCACTGAGCCCAGGCTGTGCCACGCTGTGCCTGCAGCGTTGGACCTTGGTGGGCATCAAACCTGCACTAAGCAGAGCTGCTCTTCCATCCCGCTGCTCCTGAGCTCTGATTGGCTGCCTCTGGGGGCGTCCGCCCAGCGACAGAGCCTGTGCTCTCACTGATAGGCTGTGGAGCGTGATGCTGCTTAGTTGGACCTGTACACAGTAGTCAGCTCACCTGTGTGGACTCACTGGACACATACACAGAAACCCCAGAAAACCCCCAACCCCAAGCCCATGTCATCAGATGAAAACAACTCAAGGTTTAATTGATCCCCTTGAGTAGAGCTCCACCCTTTTAAAACCTTTCACTGACCCCTCAGGCTGGGTGTCATTTGGACACTGTGATACCATATGATACTTTTTTCACTAAACTGGGTAAACCAAACTTCTGAGAGTCATCAGTGTCTAATGCAGTCATACTAGAACTCTGCCTAGATAAAATACAATAAAAAAAGTTGGAAAAATTCTTAATTAAGATAAAGTTAAAAGGACAAAGATCCAACAATGGACAAATTCACCACTGTTCTCACCCAAAAAGCAACAGGCCTCATGCAAGAAAATTTCTGTATTCTCATCCTAAGCCTCTTGATATTTACCGTGAGGCCTGCTCTTACATGTGCCCCAAGTCAAACAGCAAACTCTGTGAACTGCACAACCTTGCCGTAAAGTGCTTTTTTCATCATGAGTAGGTTTTATATAAGGTTACCTGTTCTGCTCACTTTGTGGGTAAGTTTCATTCATATAAGTGTCACAAGAGTAAGAATAACTTCACACTTTGAAGCTTGAAGCCCTGCAGTCAGAAACAAGCATATGAAAGCGTAGCAGCAGCAGTGTCAGTATAAGGGGATTTGAAATATAGAGAACATCTTATTACAGCTGTCAACGTGGTGTCATCACAGAGTCGTACAGTGACATAAATAAAGAGGGAATGGTTTGACATGACATTACATGCTTGAGCAAAGCAGTCTGGGACTAGACTAGGGTCAAGAGGATGTGACGTGTCAGATGGAGGAGAGAATACATTCATCAGATTTCAGGTATAGAGGATGTTTACCTGGACAGTGACCTGTATACTATATTTGACAAGTAACTACTGAATTTAAGTATTATCATACCAACATACCAAAATGGTAGAAAAATATAAATCAGGTCAATTTGCCATATCCTACCCTGCCATTCTCAACCAGGCATGATTTTTTTTTTACATGGTCTTCTAAGGAAACTGAAAAGGCGAAATACAATAGCAGATCATCCCTTGGATCATTATGAGAACAATCATGAGTAATTTCACTCTGATGGTTGAACGTATTCATTCGAACTGGAGTACACAGACAAGGAGCTGAATCAAATGGAAGAGGAAAAACAAAAAGGAATGAAGGCAGAGGCAGAAAGGCAACAGAGCTGTCCCGAAACTATGGCTAGTTTCTGTGTTTACTTTTGGTTAGACTCAGAGACTCAGTGTTTAAAATGATTTATGTAAGAATCATGTTTATTTGGAGGCTTGCACAACTTGGCCCCATATATCACATTTTGCGAGAGTCCATATTTCCCGAAAACCCTACAGCAGAGATGGTGAGTGCAAAGTTAGCATGAGTCACAATAGCCATGTTTCCAACATATTTGAAGAGCATTTTGAAGTATTGCATCACAAAAGTTTGATGGAAATAGCAAAATTAAAAAAAAACATCGAACTTCAAAAAACAGTTAATGCTCTCAATGGGACTTTTTCTGAATAAGTTGTGACTGTTTCCATGATAGCCCCACACATGTGGGATGTGACGGAACCTTCCTCACATTATTACATGAAACATATAGAAATGATACAGATTATCTCAATGAACAAACTCCTAATCATATAACACATTTACATTTTTCTCTGCCGATTTACTTGAAATTCGGTTATATTTTGCAATACATTTGGGAAACACAGCAAATGGCAAAACCGGGTTGAAAAATTTCCATAATTTCCCTTTGGGGGTATGTGATGACCCAGGTCATGTTACAAAAAAGCAGTATAGGTTCAATATAGGAATGAACAAAAGTCTTATGTCAAAGTCACACACTTTGTTACCTATCTATCTACCTCTTCTCCTTACTTAGATTTTGAGGGTGTAATGTCATGCCACGCCTGCTTTTATTCCTTACAGACAATAATTCCTAATTCACATGGCCTCTAGACGTCCTTGTCACTTTAACCTAAACATAATTCATATTTAGCCATTAGAACATCGACTGATGCTGTTGTTTTTCTTGGAGGACAATTTCTACTAACTGAACCAAACTAAAAACCGCAGGGCAACCTACTCCTTTAACTGACCTCACAGAGAGACTGAACCCTTTAAAACATGTAATTACTTCTTAAAAAGCTGAAGCAGACAATTGCAGATTAATGTAAAAAGCATGTGGTGGAGGCAGTTTGTATGCTTTCTGCTCTGTTTCTTTCTCATGTGCTTTGCTAGTTTTAGTCCTGCATCTTCCACCATTTTATCTTTCTTTTCCTTTCTCTCTGTCCTTTTTCCAGCTCTCATTCAGTCTGTTGTTTTTCTCCCTCCTTCTAATCTCCATCTCCCCCTCTCCTCTCTCTGTTATGAAATTGAAAGATGGATTGGTGTTGTTGGCATACAGCGCTGTGTGTGTGATGAATGAGAGCTGTCCACCCAGAGAGAGGGAGGGTACAGTAGTCTATACAGCACAGTATAGATTGATGTTTTCATATGGCGAGGTGGGAAATGTAGGGAAGATGGAGGGGGAGATTGAGCTTAAGGAAAGGAGGAGGGAAGGGAGGAAGGAATGAAGGACAGATGATGACAGAGGGAAGGGGGGATCTGGTTGGACAGGGTAACAGAGACAAACTGTACATCAGTGTACCATCTCTGGACAATAACGCTCATAGTAAATGTCAAAATACCTCGAGTCCCTACTGAGGCCCATTCACTGTGAACGGTGGCATTTTAAAACATTCATGAGAGCTGATTGGAGTTTCATTTTGTATTATAGAAAATTGAACAGGGTCAGTATGTGAGATGAACTTGAAGGGTTTAAGCTATCATAAAGTGCATTTCTATCCACATTTTTTAAGAAAGCTTTCTGTGTGGAAGAGTTACATTTATATATCTGAATAAAAGCTCGATTACAGGTTTTTGCCACTCTTTCTCCCACTTATTCAAACCGCCAATCCTGTGATCAGTGGACTTCCTTCTGAGCCACAGTCTTCCCCATGGTGGAACGTGAAAAAACAAAGACCTATGTACCCACGAGACATGAAATAGTAGGGTAAACACAGGTGTTTTCAGTGATACTAATTAAGGTTCTGTTCTATTCAGGTCAAAGAAAGTCAGGGTGCTGCTATTGTTCATGTTGGAAAGGCTCTGCGACACTATATGGAGCAGAACCTTAAACATTATCATTGGAAAAACCCTGTTTACCCCACTATTTGATGTCAAAACGGCTGTTGTGAAAAGGGTATTTTGCCACAGTAGCCAAATATTGGTGTTAACATCCATTAACAAAATCATTTTTTAAATAATTTAATGATTCTAACTTCTTGAACATTTTAGCATTAGCCGCATCTTGGTCATTGGCTAGCAAAACGTGAGGAAATTAGCACGGCAAAAGTAATTTGCATGCCTTCCCAAAGTACTGGAAGCTAGGTGACGTACAGACTACTTGGAGGGCTAGTTGGCGATCTAACCGCTAATATGCTAGTTAACCACGAACATGCTGGTGCTAGAGAGGACAGTAGCAAACTAGTCAGCTTGCTGGCTGCCAGTTAGTGATGGATTGTTACACAGTTTGAATCTTGCTCTGACCAATTACAGCACTAATGGTTAACAGCCATCTTTAATTGCATGTATGCAGTGGTTGTTGACAAAATGCTCTTATTATTTGAGAATTTGTATCACATACTGTATGTATATGGCACAGCGTTCCCTTTTTCTCACTCAAACTGGCTCCCATTATTTCTCTTTTTGTATTCTTTTTTTTTCTATCTCTCCTTTTTCTCGGCAGCCAGTCTGATCCGGCTCTCATCCACTAACCAAGTCCCCAACATTGATTTACCTTCACCTCTCATTTACGCTCAAACAGAGGAAGAGAAGGAGAAGGTGGGATGCAGGGCAGGTGGAGGAAAGAAAGTAGAAAGCCTGTTAGTGGTCGACTCGGCCTGGTAAACTTTAGACGTCACCAATCTGTCACTATTTCACACTCTCTACTTCCCTCCCTCCTTTATTCCTCCCTACTTCCTTCCTTTCTCACTCCCTCCCTCCTCCTCCTCCTCCCCCTGCTCTAATCACCCTCTCTGTGTTAATGTGACATGTTTACTACTCTAACCAACAGCTCATTATGGCCAGCTGAGGCTTTGTCAATAGCTATTGGTTCATTTGGGTTCGGGCCTGCCTTTAAATAAAGATGTCCGGCGTAAGAAATGGACCTGAGTCCAGACCTCTGTCACTTTCTGCTCACAAACTTGAAGGGAGGGGCTGTAAATTTGAATCTCACTCCGGCCAATTACAGCACTGATTGTTAATGGCCATCTTTAATTGTCCAGAAAAATAAATAAATAGAGGCTTCTAAATGCAAATGTGTCTGTCAGATTAAACCTCCATCAATTTCATTATAAACACCACCCCCTTCTCACACACACACACACACACACACCTGCCCACCCACAGTCACTGTCACTGTCACTGCTCACAGCGTGAACTTTGACCTCATGACCCCTGAGGCCCGTTCTGTGTTGGGAGGGGTCCGCTAGTTCACTGTGTGGCGAGCACGTACACACATATTAACAATGTCAGAGGTTTGAATTTGAATAGTGACCTTCTGCCCCATGACCCATAAATCATAATGCCCCCCTTCTCCATCCTCCCACACAGTCACCTACCAAGTTTATTTATTGATTATCAGCTTATATGAAACTAATGCTAAGTTGATTTCCTCTTAGGAGGATAGTAATGTTTGCAAATGGCAGTCAATACTTTCTGACTTTCTGTCCCTGCCTCGGCTGTGGCTCTCAACCCCAAGCCCGTGACTCCTAAAAACACACATTTTTTTAAATGACTTTTTTCATATTTTTTCATATTTCCTTTTATATGGAGCAATAATTGAAAGGTCCAGTTGTGTTGAATTTATCAGCATCTAGCGGTGAAATTATAGGTTGCAACCAACTGAACAGCCTAGAGCCAGTGTTTCTGTGGCAGGCAGAAACTTTGCAGCTGCACCAAACATGCACCCTGTCAGTATTGAATTAAGACACAATTTAGGATATTTATGATCATCGGGTATTAAACAGAATCTATCCGAATCAGGTTGAAAAAGCATAAAGCAATAGTATAACTGAGAGTATAATTGATTTCTGTCAGGGGTCTTGACAGAATGTTTGTAATAATCACTAACTGGAGGTCAAAGTTCATCACTGCTGATATTTATGTCCACTGTTTGTATGTATATTGATGTATGAAACAAAAACATTGATTGATTTTAGCTCTTACATCTTTGCTCACATCATGTCGTTCACCAGCTGAGGGGCAAAGTTCAGCACCCTATCACTGATTCAGTCACAGCAAGCTAAGAGCACACCTATTCTGCATGTTTGACTCCAACAGACATAAAATAACTGCTAACAAACGTTAGCGTCGATGTCCATCTCTTACAGTCTATGTCGCCCATAACTATGTAGCATAACGATGCTAACACAATTAATGCTCTAACTGTCGCTGCCGGTATACATTATAACAGTCGTACCCTGCTATGCTAACATGGTTAGCCTCTAGCTATATCTTTCATAGCCCCATACATAGGCTGTGTGTGTGTGGATATAAACCAATAAAGAAGGGGGTTTGCCATTTAAGGCGGGCTGATGATGAAATGCCAGGAGATCCAGAAGATGAGATTAGCTGTGTGTGTCTGGAGACTGCAGGACCTTTAGATCCACCACATGATTATAAATACTTAAAGTAAATGATCTGTTTTATATTATATGTTTCTTCATATTATGACTGTTTAGCCTTTACATTTCAAGCGAAAATGCAATCAACTGTATTGATTTCTGAGTGGACAGACAGTAGAAGAAGCAAAAGGCCTTCCTGATGCTAATGTATTGTCTGTGAGAGAAATTTAGGAAGGAAATTATAAGCCACAGAAGCAATGAGAGATTCATATGGTTTTCCAAACGTTTTTCAAAACCAGATATGTAGTCTGCCTCTCTACATCTCAATTTTACTCTGACTTTATCTTTTTGAAGCGCTTTGAAAAGATTCTGCTAAAAGCTCTGGACCTCAGGCTTGAGTGGGTGAGACAGGCAGACAGAAAGGGTGCATGTGTGTATGCGTTTGGGGGAGGGGGGTGTTATTGAGGGATGGCGATATTTTCTAGAGTCTTAATGGTCAGTCTGTCCCCACAGAGACTGGCTCAAATGTCAGGTCAGCTATGAGGTGACCCCCATCCTCCATCCTGCTCGCTGTCTTTATCCTCTGTGTGTGTGTATATGTGTGTGTGTATGTGTGTGCGCGCCTTACACAAAATTTAAATCGTTTTTACCCAAACCTCATTTGAAACATTAGGGTTTATTAGTTTTTGGTCATAAAAAGATCCCCTTGTTCCCATGTTTCAGATGGCGCTCTACAGTAACAGTGAAGTCCTGTAGAACTCATATGGTCATGGGTCGTCAACCAGAGTCTGTTTAAATGCTTTAAGGTGTCGAAAATGCAAATGAGCTGGTGCATTCACATTGATATTGGTGTTGAATGTGCACTGTCCCCCGTAATAAAATCAATAAGGATTTAGAAATTGAACAGGCAGATTTTTAGCAAAAATCTAAACAATGTGAATTAAGAGGCATCACGGTGGCTGATACAGCTGCACTGTCAGTTTTAAATGTATCTAAATGCCTTCATCACATTTTAATTCTGTTGTGTCCTAATATTATTAACGTCTGCAACAATAGGAGAGAAAGAAATTCTGAAATAAGAGCTGATTAAGTTGTAGCATTGATGGAGGTTCGACCTCCACATCGAGCTCCTGTCATTTTCAGATACCCCCTCCCCCCGACTGTATTGTACTTTACTCTGATTTTACCGTTTCTACTGTTTTGCAGGTAAAGCACTGACCTTCCTGCTGCTGCAGCCTCCCAGCCCCAAACTGCCTCCCCACAGCACCATCCGCCGCACCGCCATCGATTTGATTGGCCGAGGCTTCACCGTCTGGGAGCCGTACATGGACGTGTCGGCGGTGCTCATGGGACTGCTTGAGCTCTGTGCTGACGCCGAGAAGCAGCTGGCCAAGTGAGTCCACGGGCGCACACACACACTAACATACAAAGTCAAATAATATATGTTAGGAATTTAGCTTTTTAGCTACTTTTTCCAAGAAATACCATATGTCTACATGTCCACATGCCTGCTATATGTTAAAATTCAGTCATTAATTATTGGACCAAATCTAGATGTAAAAGATCTTGAGGAAATGACTTGAGACCTGACTTCGGACTGGTGTGAACAATTGAAGTTCCAGTGTGTAACATTGAGGAGAATCTATGGGCACAAATGGAATATAATATTCATAGGTATGTTTTCATTAGTGTATAATCACCTAATCACCCTGTTTGCTAACCCAACCCCTGGTCTTTTAAGACTTGACTTGGACTTGGCCCCAAAAACCTAAAAAGCAGCTCTGGAAAAACAAAGCTTACATTCAGATTTAAGTGATACAGAACAACATAAAGACACTGTGGTTTAGTCCTCTTTCCTCAGTTGCTGCTCAGGAACTGATTGGTTGATTGATTGTTTCTGTTTGACTGTACAGGCTTCCCTCTCAGATTCCAGAGTACAGACAACAGCCTGCTTCTAGATACGGATGTATGCACATACAGACACACACACACACACACACACACACAGAAACACTCAGGCATTATAGAGCTGCCACACTGAGCTATGGAAGCCAGGTTGTAATGTGATTGCAGGACATTATGATGATGTAACGATGTCTGCGTTGCTCTGACATGTGAGTCCTCTGTCTGTGTGCATGTGTGTCTGTCTGTGTTCATGTGGTATCATGAGCTTTTTTCTCTATTTTGTTTGGTTTTCCCTTACTAGTAGCAGCGCTTAAAGCCCTTTAGAACCCCTCACATATTAATGACCAGTTTACAGGCCAATCGCAGCCCAGACCGGTTTTAACATGTGCAGTATCTTGCTTGTGGTACCTTTAAAATAAAGTAGGCTTGAAGGAACTCACTCAAAAACGCTAAAGGTACTTGTATCTCGACTTGTATCAGTCACTGTAACTGTGACTGCTCATCCATCCCGACTCTCTGAGGTAACCCTGCCAGGAGTTGGTGTTTATCACAGATGTTGACAGCAGCAGAGTCCGCTTCACTTCCATTGACATCACAGCCAGCAGAGAGGAGGTCAAAGGCCCTGGCTGCCTTCATACAGTCGAAGTGGTGGTTGTGGTTGAGTTAATGCAGCGTTTTGTATGAGTGAAGGTCAGAGGTCACAGAGAGAAGGTGATTCAGTGGCATCATCTCGTATGGTACAAAGGACTGTGTGTGTGTCTTCCTCCCTGCTGAAATCTAACTGGCCAACATGAGTTGATCCTATTAAGGCTGAAACTCGAGCTGGGTGAGTCTGGTTAAATGAGTATAGATATGTCTGCTGCTGCTGCTGCTTGTGTGTGTGCTGCTGCTTGTGTGTGTGTGTGTGTGTGTGTGTGTGTGTGTTGAAGAGAAAACAACGCAATTAAATTTTAGTTGAATAAATTTTTAGTGGAATAGAAAGTGAAGAGAACTTGAACAGAAACAAAACTTCTCTCAAAAAATCAAGTTCCATATGGTACACATTTCTGTTAAAAACAGAGTGGAGGTTTTTTTTGGCCAATCATCAGCCCTGATAGACCTTCTGTAATTCCATCTGAAATACTACAACTGTTATGTAAATGATTATGGTAGTAATGTTAAAATGAGGGATTAGTGTAGAAATAGTTGTGAGTGGCTAAATTCAGTCATTAATTGAAAAAAGTGGACAGACTCATTTATTATATATATTGATTAGAGTGGCTTTTTTCAAATTAATTACTTAAGATAGGTAAACATATAGTCTGTAATTTCTGCCACTAGGGAGTCTCTCACATCAACACAATAACAAAATGCATGACCTTTGTTGGAAACATTTGGGATAATGTAAGTACACAATGCAACTACATATAGAACAGAGCTCTGGAACATTAAGACCCAAGCATGGTAGGAATTTTGCACGTTGCACCAATCAACATACTAAAAAAAAAAAATAAAGGTATAAATAAGGTTTAACATGCTTACATTGAATCATTTGAGTGATATATGTGCACACATACTTATCATAGGTCAAAACTTTGCTAAATTTACCAGAAGTTGTACTAAATGAAGGGCCAGTTGGGAGCCGAAAGCACCGACTGTCACAAGCGGAGCCAAATAATCTGCCTCACAAAATAGAGCTGGAACTAACATCAGTTAATCGTAATGATCAGGCAGGAGTCAGAGATGAGTCACGATGATTTTTTTTAGGAAGATACATTCAAATGAAAAGAGAACACAAGTTAATACGTACAGACACAAGAAGGTTAAAGGTGTGTTCAGACGTAACGCAGAGCTTGTTTTAGATGCATCACGAGTGCGCACAGAGTCGATGGGAAGACACCAGTGTGAGCACATAATATCACTGCAGATGGCACAAATTAAGGCCAAGATCTGTCTGCACCAGTTTAAACTCACTTTTCCTGCTTTTTTCACACACATGCACGCACGCACAC